ACCCACTGTTTGTGCATATATATATATATATTTGCTATTGTGCATTAAATAGATATGCAGTGAGAAATTTTCCTGCTATATCTCTTTCAGCAATCCATTATTTTATTTATTTATTCATTTATTTTTGTAACGTGTTTTGCCAAGCTGTCTTTGTTCATAATAGTATTTAGCTGTGATGCACGTTTTTGTAGTCACGTGACTTTTATGTGGTCAGACTCTGAAAAAGTCCTCGGAAACTTTGGGAGGTCCAGCACTCTGTGTGTGGTTTAGTGCATTTGTGGCACCTAGAAAACGACCGTTCCCACAGGGATAAACGGAGATCAGTTCCCAGCGTCCTCGCGGGAATATGATGGCATCTGCTCTGGGTTCTGCCAGCCACTTGACTGATTGCAGAGATGAAACTGTCTAATACTTTCCAGACCAGCCAGCCATGTACAGAAACAATGCTGGCTCTGTCGAGAGGTCACTCTTAGTCACTCTTTTGGGGGAACATTTTGTTTCCTTAACTCCGCTGGACTATGGTCATGTTTGGTATGTTCACCTCACGTCCATCAGCAAATCCATCACTATTCCTCATTTAAAGAGGCTGTGTTCTGCTTCTGCTTCACACAAAAATAAAAAAATTCTGTAAAATGCATCCTCAGGCCATCGAAGATGTAGATGAGTTTGTTTATTCTTTGGAACAGATTTGGAAAAATGTAGCATTACATCACTTGCTCACCAATGGATCCTCTGCAGTGAATGGGTGCCGTCAGAATGAGAGTCCAAACAGCTGATAAAAACATCACAATAATCCACACGTAATGCACTCCAGTCCATTCCATCAGTTAATGTCTTCTGAAGCTAAAAGCTTTTGTGTTTCTGAGGAACAAATCCATCGTTAAGATGTTTTTAACATCAAACCATTTCTTCAAGCTAAAATACGAGTCTTGTATCCATAATGTTGCTTCTTCTAGTGAAAAATTTGTCTTGTCTGAATCAGGAGAGAAGTCTGCACAGGCGTTAATTGAGCGACTGGAGTCTTGTGGATTGCTTGTGGATAATTGTGATGTTTTTATCAGCTGTTTGGACTCTCATTCTGACGGCACCCATTCACTGCAGAGGATCCATTGCTGAGCAAGTGATGTAATGCTACATTTCTCCAAATCTGTTCTGATGTAGAAACAAACTTATCTACATCTTGGATGGCCTGAGGCCGGGTGAGTACATTTTAAGGCAATAGCAATTCAGCCTGTGTCTGTCTCCACAGTTTGTCTTCCCAATGTGGGATGAATCAGCTCTGTCCAGGTTCACTACACAGACCTGTCCAAATAAGCTCTCTGAGACATGGAACTTCTTAGCTCATCATGTAAAGTGTGTGTGTTGCTCGATGGTACATCACATTCTGCTGGAAAAGTTTCATGTTGAATCTGTGGTTTACTGATGTGTAAATGTGACAGTTGCATCACAGCTGATATGTGCTCTTTTGCTCTGTGTGGCATTAAAAACTGAAGAGCTATGGTAAGAAATCAGTCATTATTTATTCACCTCACCTCCTAGTAAAGTCATAGATATTTTTGTTTTATTGGGCTTGATATAGGTCTTATTTCTGAGTGAATTTGTTTGAGTTAATTATTTTCGTTTTAACGAATCAGTCAAACAGGTTCACTCATTGGTCTGAATGATTCATTAGCATGATTGAATGATTCAAAACACCAGACTATTAATTTAAACTACTTCTATGTTGTATTCTAAAATAATTTTGAAGCAATATTGATAGATTTAAGTGAAGAACATACCAAAATATTAAAAGAGATTTGAGCTACAGCGTAGGTGAATATTAGGAAATAACAATAGCAGTGTAACATTTAGTCTGTTCCTCACACACAGCATTTGTTTGACCTCAAGAGACTTGGAAAATAGTGCACAAGTGGAATGGGCTACTATATGGAATAGATACTTTTATGCTTCTTTTTAGCCCCATTCCCTAAAGAGCTTCCAGGACACCATGCTAAACTTCTCTTTGGCAGAAAGTAAGTCATGAGGGTGAATAAATGATGACAGAATGATTACTTTTTTGGATGAGCAATGGTAATATGGTAAAATGGTGTATTGTGACTTTTAGTTTAAGACTCTTGACGTTCCATTTCTCCAAGATGATTGTTCCTGTAAGTGCAAAGTCAATTTAGCTAAGTGTGCTAAATAAGTGCATACATTACTAGAGTTGTGCACAACAAGGTCGTAAGTATTTGCTTGCTTGTTCCCACTTGCTGTCCTTTGCTTACAGCCATCAAGAATCATTTATAGGACAAAAGTGTTCGATTAAGAGGCAGTCTCAGTAGGTTGACGGCAGGAACTTCATTGTGTTCTCAGGTCTCTGTGAGGTCTGTTATCTTCAGTGCTCTCAGTGCAGTCGTCCTTATCGTTCATAGACTGGCACACACTACAGGCCGAGCGTCCGTCCCTTGTGTGTTCTGTCAGAGTTCAGTTATTTGAGGATCAGAGACTCGCTGTTGCCCGCTGGCTCTCATCACAGCGGTTGGCTTGTCTTATCGGTACAAGAGTCCAGGCTGAATGTCAGTGTGTTTGTCCAGGTGCTAGACAGAGTTGGGCAGTGAAACCCTGAAGTGTGAATTCACTGAAAGTTATACACTAATTTGCAAATTTAAAAAAAGCATTGTATTCAATACCACCCTCATTTTAGTTTAACCAGGTGCTATCTGTGCTGGATTAGCACTGTGCTATGCACTTTTAAATTCAGCAATTGTCTTTTTGTGCTGCAAATGTATATCCAGTCTGTTTAAATTAGGCTTATTATGACAAATTGTTATAGATCTATATTTATAGTATTTTAAAATATATACATAATTATTTATTTGTCTATTTAGATACTTTTAAAATATTTACTTATTTATCATTTTTATTCATTTTATTCATTACGTCTTTCATTATTCATTATTTAATTTTTGATGATTTATCTAATCTATCTATTTATCTTATTACAAGTTATGTATATATGTATTTATTTAGCTTTTCATCGTTTTAATTTATTTAGCATTTTCTTTATTTTTTAATTATTTTCTTTATTTCATAATTTTTTTAATTATGTATTATTTACCTGTTTAATTAATCTATTTATCTTTTTATTATTTACTTAGTACTAATTTATGTATTTAATATATAATTATGTAATTAAATACAGTTATTAATATATAATTATAATGTATATGTAAAATAATGATTTATCTAATTATATAATATATATGTATATAATACATTATATAGCTATATCAATATTTATGTATATCTGTATACATATTTAACCGAAAAAAAAAAAAAAAAAAAAAAAAAAAAAAATATTTATATAATTAAAATTATATTTCAATAAAACAAATACAAACACTGCAACAATTTCATAATAATATTAATTTAAATTATATATATATATATATATATATACATGTTATTTAATAGAGGTGTTTTTTATATTTTCTAGCAAATGTGGCAAAAGTTAAAAAAAAAATTAACTATCCTGGTAAAGTCATTGACATTTCTGTAATTGTCTGTTCTAAAATATCATTTGGCTTGGTATTACAGGTGCATCTCAATAAATTTGAATGTCATGGAAAAGTTCATTTATTTCAGTAATTCAACTCAAATTGTGAAACTCGTGTATTAAATAAATTCAGTGCACACAGACTGAAGTAGTTTAAGTAAATGAACTTTTCCACGACATTCTAATTTATTGAGATGCACCTGTAAATCTGATTTTTGATTGAATTTGTTCAGTTGAGTTGATTCTTTTGAATGAATCAGTCAAACAGTTTCACACATCGGTCTGAATGATTCATTTCTAAATTGCTCTAAATCTAAGTTCATTCTTAGCCAATCTCCCTTGTGTCTCCAGCCAGGATGCTAATGCTAATAGCTGATGGGCAGGTGTCTCCTCCAGGTGGCAGGTTTCACAAGGTCTTATATTATTAATCTTGTTCTCTCTTCATTCCTCAGTTCAGGCTTTCAAAAAAAAAATTTTTTTATAGTTTCATTATCTATTATTATTATTTTGTGCCTTTATCTGTATTGGCCAATAGTATGTTTAATTATTTCTTTTGATTTTTAGATTCTAAAACTTTTACAATTATTTTTAAAACTAAATTATGAATTTTTTTTTTATTTTTATTTTTTTATGCTTGAAACCTGACTAACATATAAGTGGACTACGACATAAAACTAAAAGTCTACAAATGTGGGGAATATGCTTTTGATTTGTTTCTTTGTTCCTGGGAACTTGCACAAGGTTTTTTGTGTAATGCCAAAAGTAATTTCAAACAAAATTGTGATTACGCAAGCCTTTCACCTGTTCATGATTACAACTTCCTCTTGGGTTACCCTCTCCCCTCCTCATCATCTCCCATTATTCAGAATGAAAGAGTGTCTTGGCTGTGTTTTTAAACGGTTACTAAGGAACTCCAGATACACAAGATGTTTTTAGTTTGTCTTTGCTGTGATACTCTAAAAGGGGGAACTGTAGATATGCAAATGCAGTTCAATATTTTTTGCTGTTTATTTGGCTGATTAGAGCACATTATGCATTCAGGAGGAGAATGACAAGGGAATCCCCGGCCAACCTGACAAGAAGCTCCTCTTTACTTTCTTTTCTTGTTCTCCACTTGCTTCAAGCTTTCCTCTCTGAGAAACAGCAGCAGTGAGCTCACCACCTGACTGTGCCGCCACACTTTCTAACATCTTCCAAAACCAGAATTATGGAGAATTTGTAATGCTACTCAACACTGACTGGACTTTATTGCCTTGTGTATTTTGCAAAGAGCTACCACAGGTGTTCAGTTAAATATGCTCTTAATGTTTTCCATGTTAAGTAATGAGTGTTTATCCACTTATATAGTAATACAAACACTCTCATAACTAAACATTTCCACTCTTCTCAACCCGATGCGATGCTCAGGGAGACTGGGTTGCATGAGTGTTCGGGTGTGTCTTATTGGTCTTCACCCTCTCCACAGGATGCAAAGGTACGTCCAAGGGAAGGAGAAGTTGGAGAGAGACCTGTACAGCCGATTTGTGCTGGTCCTAAACGAGAAGAAAGTCAAACTCAGAGCTCTGCAGAAAAGTGTCAAAGAGCTGGAGAAATCTGTTGAAGAGAATCGACTGAGGTAAAGATGTGTGCGTCATTTCATCATGATACAACCTCACATGATCGTAAACATTTTTCATTTCAACATTTCCCTTCTCCTGTTATGAAATGCCCATTTCGTTAGGTAATCCCATGATGATGTCACGTTCATGATTATCTCTTCTAGTTTTGTGTTGAGCACATTTTCCTGTCTTAAAAAAAATTAAACCACAGCAACAAGCTCTACACTAGTTGACAACTGTGGCATGATGGAAAACTTAAAATGTTTAGGTACAAAGCCAAGAAGGTTCAGTCCATCACCGTTGTGCCCTTGATTAAGACACTTAAAGGGGTCATATGATGCGATTTCAAGTTTTCCTTTCTCTTTTGAGTGTTACAAGCTGATTGTGCATAGATAAGATCCCTGAAGTTGCAAAGACTAAAGTCTCAAAACCAAAGAGATATTCTTTATCAAAGTTAAGACTCTGCCACGCCCCCCTAAAATGCCTGGTTATAACACGCCCCCACATATCTACCTCACTATGTGGACATATTTGC